AGGCTCGGACGGGGCGTACGGAGCAGCGGGCAAGCCCCGCAGACCTGCACCCTCCCGTCCTCTGGGCCCAGCTGCCTCCAGCTGGGAGCTCTGGCCCGCCAAGACAGCAAAAGCAGAGCGCAAAGACCCCCAGGGAACAGCTCGAAAGGGCCAGGACAGGCACCCGATCGAGGAGAATGACGAGTTAAGGCCCTGAAGAGCAGCGGCCATTCGGAAGCACAGTTCTTTCCAAGCAGGCCACTGAAAACGTGTACGAGAGGCAAATACATCTCCTGCTACAGGAAATTTAAATGAAAGCATTTATGCATTTCATAGACTACAGGTTATTTCGATAGCTAATTTATAATTAGCCAACAAAATACTTTGAAATGCTAAAGAGCACAGTACGGAAGGAGATCTACGCGGTATAAAATATTAATCAAGAAACGACTAAGTCAGCAGCACTGCGTTTTATGTCAGCAAAGAACTGCTGGGATGAGGAGAGCTAAAAATAGACTGGAGGGCTGAGGTGGGAATGCACTGGTGACTGGGGAAGGGGCGTCCTGGGATCTGCATGCAGGACTTAAGGTCCTCCTTCCCTAAGCCAAACTCCAACCCAGGCATTCCTAAAAAGAAAAAGAAACTTGAAAAAGAAAAAGTCTACAAAGCCTAAAGAACAGATTTTCTCAACTATGAAAAAGAAAAAACAATCTTCATATTGGCAATTGTCAGCCAGAATACACTTTAAAAAAAGAAGCCTGCTTTGGAAATGCATGTTTCTGCTCATATTTTCCTGCTGAATAATTCAAAGGAAATGGTTTTTTGGACAACAAAGCCCCGAGGGCATCACATAAAAAGCCCAAGTATGTAAAATATTCAGTGTTTAATAAACAAGAAATGAGAAGCTTGAAACCTCCCATTCCTGCAGCAAAGAACAGAACATTTGGGTTTAAAAATGAAAATAAAGTCTAAGCATTAAGCATTAGCGAAGACGTTTTCCCCGCCATCATTCGCAGGGAAACAGCAGGGACCGGGCAAAGACTGTCTTTTCCTCCAAAGTCACGGAGGGCGCTGGCAGAGCCACGTGCTTGCAGGCTAACATTGGTCAGCAAGGCACAGAAGGCCAAAGGCTCCTGTCGTGCACCAGCACAAGGAAGCAGGGGAAGGAAACGTGCCCAAGGGCATGTTTTAAAGCTGCTGGCCATAGCCAGGGAAGCATGGAGAGGAGCGCAGGACCACGAGCCACGTGCAGACGTTGCGAGCAGAGCCCCAGTGACCTCCCCGCTGCTGCAGAGCGGCAGCGGTTGCAGTGACAGGACTGACTCGCCCCAGCTCCTGTGCAGGGAGCAAGAGGCTGAACCGATGACAGGGCAGGGAAGAACCAGCTGGGAAATGCTGCGGAGAAGACAGATGGCGAACCAGCACTGCTGGTCTCGCAGCAGGGGAGACGAGGGCACACAACGAAGTCATCAGGCAGTAAGTTTAAAAGACAGACAAAGGTATTTGCAAGTGACAACATGCTACGTGTAAATTAGGCAACATGTTGCAGTAGGAAAAGAAGGCATCTCAGGTGGAGCACAGGGCCCTTATTTGCTATTAAGCGACCTGCAGCCTCAGACTCAGCGGTTTGTAACCTACCAGCTGCTGTGCTGTGCACCCAGGACAGTCGCTTCATACACCTTGTTCTCACCTTTAGGCAGCTGCAATAAGCCACTGCTGCAAATGGCCTAGAATGGCTGTCCCTGCACCTCTACAGTTTCCCCACATGGTGGGCACGTCAGAGGTGCTCCTTGGCCCAGCAAGGTCACGGTTTCCTCCCTTACAATATAGGGCGATTCCGAATACTGCAACAAGAGCACAGGGTGTCCCTGCAGCTGTTCACCGTGGCTAAGCAAAGCAGGCAAAACTGGCAGAAATACAGCACCTGGCAATAACCTCAGCAGAGCAGCCAGCCCTCGAAACGTTCCACTGCCAGCAAGAAACTGCTGCACCACTTCAGAACTGATTTTTTCTTGCCGGGGTCCCAAAGGACCAGCTCCCCCAACTCGCCCCACAGAGCCCCCACGCAGTGCTCGGCAAAGCGGCGTGCCGCATCGCCAATCGCACGCAGCGCGAGCGCAAGCATGAGCGTGAGGGCAGCCCTGGGCCGCTTAGCCCGCAGGACAGGGTGCAAAGAGGAGCCCCTAAAGAGAGAGCTCTTACCACCAGCTGTGGAACCGGCAGAGGTTTCCCCTCCTTGCTCAGGGACACGTAAGTAAAAAAAGCACTGACAGCACGATATCTTTCTTGAGGCTCATCCACAAAAGGATCGGCATCCACAAAGACCTCAATTTCCATGGATTTATTGCTTGTGAAGGTCATGCGTCCAGAAATAGTAATAACACTACCTGCAAAACATAGATGGGTCAGTTCAGCAGCAGCAGCAGCAACCAGCGGCCATCCTCTATCCAGAACATAAAAGCATTCCCCAGCCAAAGGGCCAACAGATCAGATCGGCCATTTAGGAGAAAACCACGGCTGTATTTGCTAACAAAAAGGGTGCAAACCTTACCATGTTTCTTGCTTATGTACGCATTATTTTTCCTCTTTTTGGGGGGGGCATGTTGAGATTTCTTCCTGCACATTGCAATGGCAACACCCAGCAGAAGGAATCAACTGATGCACCTTCCTAAACAGGCAAATGCCAGTTTCTACCCAGCACATCCACAAATGAACGTGAGCCAGCCTGAAGTTCTGCACTCCTAATAAAAAACTAGTTGGAATCGCTTTCCTCCTGGACTGTTTTCCAGCACAAAGCATGCCATATTCAGATCTCACATATCATCGAGTTATTACAACAGCACTTTCGGAGAGTGCTGCTCTACTGATCTGCTGAAGGGGGAATCTCACATCAGGTTAATTCCCCACGCAGAAATGGCCCAAGCACCAAGCACTGAGCACAGCAGTCAGATGATCTCATCTCATTATGTCCAAGGAAGCAGGCTTTGTCCAGTGCTTGCACGCCGTAATCGCTCAATGCGGAAAACATCACCCTACATAACAATAACTCTTCTGCAAACATGTCACACAAGCAGTGGCTGTTGCAAGGCTTCAAATTAATTTCAGCTAGAGCCCTCGGAGTGTGCTGTCCCGGGCAGAAGCATAAAGTTCACAGCACATACAATTTTGTCTAACCAGAACAAATAACACAGGGTAGTCTCCTGCTCACACGGTGTGCGTTTTGAAATAATACCTCCCAAAACACATCCAGGGCCACAGTAGCAGTCTTTCCTGGATGCAAAAGTATAGTCTCTCTGCTCATCAAATACACTGTGCAGCAAACTTACTGCTGACATTGCCACGCTCTTGGATCTGAACCTCGGAGGACCTGGAGCGTGGAAGCACTGCAATTCTTTGAACACCTCTAACTCAGAACAAGCAAATGTCTTCATTATTTACAGCAATAACAGACACCACTTCCACTCAGATCTCCCAGAAGCATGAGGTATTATTTTAATGTGGATGAAAGATGGGGCTTCCTTATCAACTTTTCTCATACACAAGAAATACTTAACTTAGGGAGCTGTGAATTAATTCAAAATCCAGAGCTAGCAACGTTTCATTTTCTAAGCAGTGCAGAAACCTGCCTCCATAACTGTTTCTGTGTGATAACAAGAGGCACAAACAACACTGAGGTCCTGCAGCAGCAAAGCTGCCTGCATCTGCAGCTCTCCTTCCTCCCGCATCTGCAGCGCTCACCAAGCCAGACCCATTCTTCTGGGTAAGGAACTCCATTTATTTTATGGTTTATTAAAAGCCATGACTGCTAGGCCGTGTTTATGAGCTTCTCAATGCATCATGAGAGCCTGATCTGGATGAAATTTCTTCACCTCACGTGTCTCGCAGAGAGAGCGCGTGACTGCCGAACCCCGGGAGCAGAAACGTGGCACCAACAGAACAAGTGAGAAAGTGCCAAGGTGTCCGTGGCTGCTCCCCCTTCAGACCCAGGACTGATCCTTTACCTTTTTTGATCTTCTCATGGAAGTTGATGGCATCCACAGAGGCTGTGACGATGTTGGTCTTGCAATGGCGGGCAGCGACAATCCCCGCGACCTCGTCCATGAGTTTCATGGTGACACCTGGAAGGGGAAGTCACAGATCAGAGCTGCAGCAGTGGTAACACGGAGCTCAACTGCAGAGCAAGGGAGAGGAGAGCCTGCGACACGTCACCCCTGCGCTGCCACAGACCACTCCAACGGCCAGGATCAGCCTGGACCCGGAGGCCTGCTGCTGGAGGAGCAGCAGATTCCTCTCCACTGTCCCCTTGCAAAACAACCACCAGGTGCTACGCGTATCCAACTAGCAGAAAGAGCAGCATCACAAACATTTCCCCAAAGGGACTTGCACACTCTTGTCTGAAGATACCGAGCACTGGCTTGTTTTGAGAACACGCCTATGAGCACTGCTGCATTTCACTGAAAAACTGCTGTACCAATAACTCAGTGAACCCACAGATCACTCAGAGTAGTAGAAGATCCCACAAACACTTTGTGCATCAGCAAAGAGCCGGACAACTGCCTCACAAGAGCCCCACTACCGCTTCATAAAGCGCAGCATCCCACCAACCTTGTGTTTCTTACCTCAGCTATTAATCCAAACCAGTAATGTTTCATTTGCAACCACTGGCATTTGTAGAGACAGAGGTGTTTGCTGGGTAGGCACACAATGAAAACTAAAATGCTGCATTTCCAATAGCATGCCAGATACTTACAAAATATGCAGTTTTATCTATTGCTATAGAAGACTCCTGCTAAGGCCTTTAGGGTCTACATATAAAAAACTTGAAGTTTCACGGCCTTTTACTATTGGCTTTATACGCTGCTTCTTGCTGAGAAGTGAAATGGTTACAGGACTAATGAGCACAAACGTGGCGCCTCTGCTTTCTTCTCCTCTTGGAAGATGGAGAGTCCAGCTAGCAGGGCTTCAGGTATTTAGCAGGCACATCCCAAAGTGGCAAAGCATTCAATGCACGTTGTAGTTCTGCAACGCCAGAAGCAGGCCTAATCAAGCCAACCTAAGTGGTGCTATTTTGCCTAAGCCATACTCATAGGGTACAACTAGCCGGAAGCTGCTCTTTTTCCCACTGTAAATGTACACAGGTGTTAAATGTTCTTGGAGCAAGGCAGACACTAGTGTATTGAAGATGACAGGGTTTATACCTGCTTTATCAAAGGTAAGGTATGCATGGGAAGGACCAGACAAGCAAGACCTTTCAAGCCACCGATGTGAGCAGCGTGCAGAAGCACATTTCCATCATTCACAGAGGTCCTCATTACAGCATTTGCACAACAAAAGATAGACTGAAAAAAGATAGCTGGACTGCAAGAGTGAATCTCAACCACAGGAAAATCACCACCTCCAAGTGTCATTACGGGAATAAAGGATTTTGAAGCATGTGACTAGGTAAAATATTAAAGTGGCGTTTGCGTCTCAGATCAGCATCCGACTGCACACCAAGGACATACGAGGATTGCATACAATTCCCATGGCAATACAGCCATCCACCTGTATTTGAAAACATATTTAAGAGCCCTCTCTACAAGACCACAAGTTAAAAAAAATGCAACCTGAAAAAAATCTGGAGAAAAGATGGACTGCCATTTTTAAACAGAAACCAAGTCACACAAGTTAAGCACTCAAAAGCTAGGGTATGCTAAAGCTGAAATTATTTATTTCCACATAATGCAGGCTATATTAGAAACAGCCCGAAGATTAAATCATGGTACTGGGAAAG